AAAAAAAAAAAAAAAGAAAAGTGATAATTAGTAGAAATTATTATAATTTTATAAAAATTAATGTAATGTAAAGTATTTGTAATTTGATGTATCGTGCAACAATACGTTACATTTCAAGAGAGAATTAAATCGTGAATTTTTTTTAAATTTCATCTTCTTGTCTTTGAAACGATTGTTGTATCAACTTTTTGAACCTTGAACACACTACAAATCCAATTGTATTGTAGTTTCTCGTTAATCGTGATAAGATCAGTCGTCATGCACACCACCTACGGATCTAATAAATTTTAAAATAGTTACTGAATAATTTAAATCACAAGCACACAACCTTGTTATAAAAGGCAGTATTCGACACGAAAAATAACCAGTATGATGAACATTGCTGAAGTCGCGAGCAAGAATTCAAAAACCCCAATAACTATGTCTAAAAAATCAAACAATAAGAACCAAGAATTCTTCTATTACGATAAAAAGCACGATAATTCGATATCAAAAAAACGATCGAATCGTAAAATTAATGTGATCGAAACCAAGTCGAATGTCACGAAACGTGTAACTGATCCTCCAAAAAAGCGAAAAAGGAATCCAACTTCGTTGGACATTTTAACTGATTTTTTGGAAAGCACTTCCGTGCATGGTTTGCAATATTTCGGTAAAACGGATATAGAAGTCGGAACATTTGGAAAGATCTTATGGAGTGTCACCATATTCAGTTGTTTCATCGGTATCTGTCGTTTCTTCGAGATAAAATGCATAAAAATAATACATAGAATTAAGTATGTGTATCTCGTTTCAGGTTTGAGCTTAATGGTAATGCAATTTCTACGTCGTTACAATGAAAATCCGACCAACACGTATATACTGAGTTTCGACGAACCGATATTCAAAGCTCCTTTTCCTGCTGTAACCATCTGTCCAACTATGCCAATTCCTATGCAAAAACGTCTGGCCATTTTGGAGAACGCGATATTGCCTGAGAACGTGAGCAGAGAGTTTGCGTTAAACATGTTAAAGTACGTATATAAATTGCAAAAAATATTGTAAAAAAAAAAAAAAAATACCGATGAAATTGCGTGAAATTTAATGTAGATACGGCCATCTTATAACTCATTCGTACACGAGCAAAGAGTTCGAGGAAATCGATAAGTTAAAAGCGTTTTTGAATGCCAATAAATGGAAAGTGATAGAATTCGTGAAAATTTTGATAAATTGCGAGGATATCTTCGAATCGTGTCTGTGGAATACGGAACGGATAGATTGTGGTAAATCGATAAAAACCTCGTATAGTTCTTATGGATTGTGTTGCTCGTTTAATTATCTTCTCGAAGGTTACATGGGATCTCAGAAGCAAGTATTTCAACAATATTTTAATCGTTTCGAGAAATTGTATTATTTCCTTGTACGTATATTTCTTTTTTTATCGATGATGTAAAGAGGTCAAGTAAGACCAAAACCTTTGGGATCCGCTGACTTTGGTTCAGAGAGCGGTTTGAAACTTGTGATCAATAAAGAATTTCAACAACAGAGCGACGAGGAAGACTCGTACAATTCTATGAATTTTTCCATGAATAATAATGGTATAGTGGTACGAGGAAAAATGATAATTTCGCAGAATCGATATCTAAGATGAAATTCAAAATAAAATTTATCTGTATTATTTTCGCAATTAGGTAGTCATACATGATAGAATGGATTTTCCAGGATTGAGTAGTAATATATACATGTTACAAGCGAATCATGAATTAAAGGTAATCTATTCAATATAAAAAATGGAATCGATGAATCACTGATTCTCTTAATTAATTATTCCAGATCGCTATTAAACCGGAATTAATTCAGAAACCAAAAGGACTCCAACATCGTAACAAAGAGAACCAGTTAGTTCCTTTGTGCATCGCGGAAGATCAAAATACTTTGGAATATTTCTCCATCTATGGATATTCGAACTGTTATGCGAATTGTAGAGTCAAGGCCATGCTTCAGTATTGTGGATGCTTACCATTTATTTACAGCAACGTAGCTGAATACAATAAGATCAAAGTAATGGAAATTTTATCGTTAAAACGATAAATCACGATATTCACGAAATCACGAATTAGGCCGATCAATTTTTAGCATTGTGAGTTGGATCGTCTACAGTGTATTCAGAGAAACGCGAAAAAAATAAGAATCGTGAAGAATATCCAGAGCAAAGATATTTCTTGTTCCTGTAGGACGCCGTGCACTTATATGAACTACGATGGATTTCCTAACTCGATAGTTCTAATGAAAACCAGTTCCACGTGAGTTCATTTCATAAATATTACATTAACTATAATCATAATATGCGTTATTTTGCAGTAGAAACGTGTCACAGAAAAGTACTATTCTTAATGTTTACATGAATTCGCAAACTTATCAAGTTTCAATAACCTTATCAGCCGCTAACGAAACTTATCTTTTGGGTATTGAATATATTCAATTTTTTTTATTATTTGTTTTATTAAATTCAAGTTAAATTAATTCAAATTTAACGTTTCAGCATCAGTCGGTGGAATCTTTAGTTTGTTTCTTGGTTGTAGCTTTTTAAGCGTCGCAGAAATCATTTATTTCCTATACTTATTTTTTCGCGCTAGTTTGAAATCGAATTAGAAGAGCCAAAATCCAAATACATCATAAATACTGACTATTGTAAACAGCAATCGACATGTTTATTTAAACACTCAATAAATAACGCTAGTAGATTATAGATACAGCAATGTTGCCTTTCTCTTTCCTTCGAATTGCACCATTCTGAACCACGCTCTATCGAATATATATATATATATATATATGGGTTATCGATATTTCCAAGACCTTGGTCAATAATAATTCGATCGAACACAGACTCGATCTATTGTGTAATATAATCTGACACAGACAGCAGGCAAGAATCTGGAGCAATTAGATCTATTTCGAGCGATTACTGGAACGCCACGGAGGCAACGTTTACCATCCGCCAGCTAGTAAAAATATTTTCTCTGCCGTGTTTCCGCTTTGAAGTTTCATCCTCGTGTGGTAGTGTGTCGCGACGTTGGACAGAGTTTTAATAAACGGACCCAGATACTATACGAATTTCTAGAGAAACAACGATAGTTAATCAGAATCTCGGCTCGGTACACTTGTCCCGATCCGTGTCGAAACCGGAAGTCACGCTTCCTCCGCTATACGCGCGATTAATTTTCGTCGTGTAACGCGATAGGAACGCTTTTGCAAAGCGTTGTTCGAGAGGCCGTGGAAAGCGTTGTGAAAATTATATTACGACAGATGGAAAAAATTTACATTTATTCAACAATAATGTTTAACGAAGGAACAGGGAAGAGGAAGAAAAGTATTCGTTTCGATTACATTTTGAGAGTTACGTTTCCTTCGCGGTATTCTATTTATAAGTAAAAATATTCGAGACAACCGAAATCGAAGGTAGAATCGGTAATCCGATCCATGATGAGAACCAGCAACAATGTTGCGTAACAACCGTGAAAATTCGGTCGGTATCGCGTCGTCGTTGCATGTTTTTAATATCTATATAGCGTGGAAATATTCAAGATAGATGCAAGATGTATGTTCATATCGTCTATTTTCGGAATTGCTATCGAAAATACCGATTTAGTTCTCTGTACGTCGGACATACTACGGCCGTGGTACATTGGCGAAAAGAGCTGGAAGCATCGCTAGCTATTTTCGACTAAACACCCACGTATTTCTTACCCATCGACCGTGTACCCCGAGATGTTTTCCATCTTCACGCAAGCACTCGAATATTTTTCTTTGCTCCTCGTCCAATTTTTCTCTCCTCCAATTTATTCACTTTCAATGTTTTTTCGCACAGACTTTGAATCGTTTCCATGCTTGGAACGTATCTCGATTCGATCGAATCCCTAAGAGATTGTAATTCTTCAATTTTCAACAAAGAAAAATATGCGTCGAGGCTTCCTTTTATCATCGTGCTTCACAATCATTCACCTATTTATGAAACTACGTTATTTTGGTTGTTCCTTTTATTAGAAGTAAGACTATCTCTTTCACGTTCAATTATCGTGAGATACATAAAATCTTGGGAGAATGGGATAAGCGAATGTAATACTCGTGGAGAACATTGAAAGAGCTTAAATGGATTACGCTTGTCTCGTTCATTTTAAAATAGATTTTATATGGATAGAGAAAAATGCGGAGAAAAAAAAGGCGTTAATTGGATGAAAGAGGGATCGGTGTATCCAATGTATCCTGAGTATCCTGAGTATAATCGTTGATCAATCGAGGATATATGATTGTCGTCGAACGTGTGATTCCCTTCGTATATTTCTTACTTCATTCCTGGAACGAACAAAAGTAACGTTTTACTACGAACGTTTTTAACGCTACGTTGCAAGGTAACAGAATGAACCATTGTAGCGGAGATTTCAATGATCAATAGTACAATAGGAAGCAAGTGTCGCGCAGCAATTATTTGTGAATTAGAGGCGAACTTACCATGACGAGGAACGTCAATTTCAAAGTTAAAACAATCCCGAGTACAATAACCAGAGGCAAATCAGCAGGAGGATGAGTATAAAGTACGTGGTTAAGATGTTTTTCGTTTCGTGGGCTGCCTGTGGCATTTTTCACGATAAATGTTTCACGACACTAAAGAAAAATTAATATCAGCATGCGATCACGGTTACGTCAAGTTGTTTCCTCGACGGACGAAATACTCCTACCCAAAATATTGATCGTACTGTTTAATTTTTTTTTTTTTATTCTTGATGAATCAGTCTCCTTTATTGTCTCCGTTTCACGGATCGATCGATCGGACGGAAGTTTCGGATAAATCGCGCTGGACGATCAAAAATGGAGAATCGAACGGGAAAATCTGAGATCAAGCACCGCGCCACTTTGCGTCCGATCTTCGACTAGATCACTCAACGCAGGATCCACGATACGAACGAAGATCCCGAAATTCCTCCAGGAATCCGTGTGAAATCCCCCACCAATTCGATCACGGATACCACCACGTTGCACCTTCCCTTGTAACTTCTGGTCCAGGATTGGTAGCCCGGGTCCCACCACCATCTTTTACTGGTGCGAAATCAACGAGTTCCGCCACCTCGAGTTATATTAAGCATCGTGAATATTGGATACAGCTTCAGTGGAAAATGTTTCGGATCGATTCACTATCATCATCGACGTAAAGATATTTCGGGTTCAAGGTCGTGTAGGTGGCGATCAATGGCCTTTGAGGAGCGTTGCGACAATGCGAGAGAAATTAAACGAAATTTAGAACGACAAAAAAAATAAGAGACATCTCGGTTCTCTAAATTATAAAATTTTCTAAAAAACTTATGATCGATTTATAGATCATTTCGAATACACTCTGCGAGGAAAGATGAAGTCTGGAACGAAGAAGAGATTCGTTCATGATTCTGCATAAACTTATACATATAAGTATCCTTATTCAGATAATAAGATCTATTGTTCTTCTTTTCTTATCGAATGATTTATCAATGAAGCATTTATTAACTTGGTTCACGTATAAATGATTCTAATCTAATCTATTAATAAGATCTATCATGTACCGTTCGTACGTGAAAAATGCACAAATGTGTATAATACAAGCATTATGCTCAATGGAATACAAACCAACCATATATTGAAATGTTAATTTAATTATAACATGAGACAAGAAGTCGATGTCACTTAGCTTAGGTAAAAGTGTTAAAAAAAATCGATTCTTATTTTTAAACAGAAATTACTCTTATAAACATCTACGTTTTAAACTTGGAGTGTTGACAGAATTCACGTGTGGCGCTACGGTTTTTCCCACGTGATAAAATTTTAATCATTGAAAAAAATATGATTCATCAGAAAAACGATATAAAACGTGATCTGTTTATGTTATTTAATATGTTATATATATATATATATGTTTATTTAACAATTATAATCATGATTTAAGAGAAATTTTTTTCTCCAACTTTTTTATGCAAACAAAGATGAAACAAGGAAATGAAAAGAAACGATAAATTCGATTATCCAGCATTGAATATTCAATGAGAGGAGAGTCCTTCGATTTGATTGATAGCTAAAGCTATTTTAATCCTCGAGGAAACTCGGTTCGCTGAGTTTTAACATTTGATTAAGCTGCGCAGAGCTGCTCCTCTTTAGCTTTACCAACGTCGTTCATCATTTCCAGTCCTTCGGTTAATTTTATCTCGTAAGCCAAACATTAACCTTATAATGGACAATATACGCTAACATCTTCAACCTAAGCTTCGTACATTCGCTTATATTTGTAACATTTAACGAAATCGCGTGACTTTCGATACGATCAAAATTTTATCAATCGATAGATTTATCATCTAATTTCTTATCATCATCTTATCTTATTTCTTATCGTAATCTTATTAAAATCTTTGGCACAATTGAAATATTTTATAAAATATCTCTTTATTCAATTCTCAATTACTCGTGTATTAACAAATAGAGAGAGTTGATTGGTAACTTATAGTACATGCTACAAAATGAATTATTTCTAGGAATGTAAATTGTACATTTTGTACACGTTACTAGCATACGTAGGTACACGAATATGGCGGGCATCCTGTTACAACAAATCTAACCGAGACACCAGTCACTAGACCTTTTACTTTTAAACATCTACATAAATAAAATAAAATATTCGAATGAATAAAATGCAAATATTTCAAGATCTAGAAACTCAAAGGGAACACCATATGACTTTCTGGAAGAAAGTTATCAACAGATGTTTCATTGGCACAAACAACCGGTTTTTTTACTTTTAAATTCTTGGCACGGGATTCGCGAACGTTTTAAAAATACAGGGAGCAACGACATAGGAGGAAAAAATCTCTCTACTACAACTAACAACTATCTCGATTCTCAAAACGATAACCGGTTTGATCTTATGGAACGAAGACTTTGTTCCACAATTTTCGATTCATTAAATGATAACTAGATACATAAATATAAAGGAAAGACCTGAGTAAATTAATGCACGCGAACCGATGCTTGTATGTCGAAAACAGGAATAATTAACTCGTATGATTTATTACAATCGAGTAAACGCATAATACTATTTAACCATTAACGTAGCTATTCATAATTCGAAGCGTAATTCATCTCTGTTGTCAGAAATTCTCGAGTAAACTTGCAATCAAGCCAACGAGAATCCCAGCACGTCCTCGAGCGAGTAATCGAATAATCTTAGATCTAATTTGTACAAATCCACCAACTTCCGAAGCTGCTTGTACGTCAACGTGGAATAATATTTCTCCAGTTTCTTCGCAGTTGGCTCGCTGTTCATCGGTTTGGTTGGAAAACTAGAAAAATAATCGATAATACTGTTGGTTAAATGAACGTTAAACGAACGAGAAAATATCGAAATTACTTACTTGATTGACTCGACGCCCATCCGCTCCAAAACTTCTGTAGCATCCTCCGCTAAGCTTTCATATTTGCTGACGAGATTATAATTAACCAAACATGGATGACACAGCTCGTATATCGGCTTCCAGTGCTCGTTTCGCGTCTCATTCGACGAATCGTCCGTAACGAATTGTACGAACTCTCGAAATGTCACATCATCGCCGTTTTTCAGTGATTCTACAGTGGCGTTTTGTCTGTACCTCTACAAGAAAGAACGCTCCTTTTGTAATTCATTTGATATAGAGGCAAACAAGGGAGAAAAAAAACGTAAAAATAAAATTATACCCTGATAATCTTCTTCCCAAAACGGGTTTGAAAGTATTTCGAACTCTTCTCGTGTTTCGCTTCCAATTTATTCCTGTAGGCGGACAATAATCTTTCCAAAGGGTGTCTGACGACAATCAGTTTGTCATAAGTCACCAGCATTCGTTCGATCTCGGACAAAGTATAATTACTGAGCCTTTGGAAAGTACTTGGGGAATGCGCCTGATCAGCCGGTATCTCCATAGGATCGTTACCTGGCCACTTGCCCGTGACAACCATCAGAACTCGTTTCCAGTTCGTGCAGGCAACCTGAAACAAACATAGCCGAGAATGTTAGAAAAAAAAAAGATCAACTATGTTAATGCAGTTAAATATCAAATCAAAATACAAAGCATTAAAAATTCCATTTGGATTAGATAAAACGGTTCGAAATAAATAAAATTTCATAAGATCGATTAGAAAATTGTTCAAATATAAAATTAAATTGAGAAAAAGGAATTAATTTATTTTCAAGAAAATCGTTTTAAAAAGCAAAAGATTATGAAAGAAAAATAGAAATTAATATTTGATGAAAATGAAAAAAATTATACTTATTAATCAACTAAAATTCATGACAGATAAAAAATATTTAATCGAAAGATTTGTTGATTATCTGTGCATATTTTTTCCTTATATTTTATTTATTAATATTAATATATATATATTTTATTAAAATTTAATAATCGTACCTTTGGAACATAACAATATAAAAGTTCATGTTGCTCGTCCACAAGAATATTCCTGAAAGATTCTGGATTTAGATCCTGGTTCTCGGATTCTCTATCTCCCAAGATCTCCTCGCAATTATATTGTAATCTTTCCTGACGTTCCACCAAAGCTGATCTCGCCAGGGCATTGGGTCCTGTCCAAGAGTACACGGAATCATCTATCTCCATGGATCTTTTTCTATCATCGTTCATCGAGATATGCTCTCCAACTATGTTCGCATCTATCGTTAAACTTAAAATATTGAGGAGAAGCAAAATTGTCTCCCAGACACGACATTTTATCATCGTTTTTCCCATCCACCCGGGTCATTGATTTATCCTTAAATAAATAGTTATTTAATAATCCTTCTTCTTTAATATAATCGTTTCTGAAAAAATTAAAAAAAAAATACATACGTTCAGTGAGAAAAGAAAAATAGAAAATATTTTTAATGAAACATAGAAAAAGTAAATAAAAGAATTTTTATTTTTTTTATTTGCTTTCATAATTGAACAGGAAAATGTAGCGATCAATTTACAAAGGTTAACGAATCAATTCCAATCGCTTAAGAAATACCAACAGCTCGAGAGTCTTATTTCAATTATTCTCCTGTTTAATTAAACGTCATTGATGTCAATTCTCTCACTTTGCACGAGTCGCGTATAAATCCTTAAGAATTAATCAACGAAAAGAAATATTTGCAAATAAATAAAATATACTTATTATTGTAATGAATAGTGTAGAGTGATTTGCATCTTAACGGGAAAGCAAATAATATGGTAATCAGGTCAAGCGCCTTCGTTTCATACTCTGTTCCGATTGAAATCCTTTAAAGCCGGTTCTGAATGGACATCTTGCGGTATGTTTGACATCTAAATATCTAGAGCATATCTATTTTTTAAATAGAGCATCAAAAGTGAACTGAGTTAATTTATTTTTTGTTGCTTCAAAATTGATAATTTTTTAAAAATAATATTTTATATATTATATATAAAATAAAAAAATTCAGGTCATTACTTGGAAGGAATAAACTCGGTCGGAGACATTGCTACACGCAAAATACCTGTTCTTAAGTTTCGTAATATACTTATACTTTATATTTATATTTTAGCTAAGCTATAATTCGTTCTTTTTTTTTTACGAAAAAAAATTGTATCGATGCATAATATTGATTTATATTATGCAATATATAATGTGCAAATAATTTTATGAATAAAAATACATGAAAATTATCATATATATTATTCAAGAATCTATTGAGTTGAGAGATTTATTTCTTCTTGAAAAGATATTTTGTAAAAATAGAATTTTGTTATTACTTATAATATTTTTCTTATGATTTCAAAATGCCAAAATAAAAAATAATTAAAGAATTATATATATTATCCTATTCTAAATATCATTCAAAACATTAATGAAGATATAGATATTTATAGCATTAAAATTTCTCTACCTATCTCTAAATTAAACTTATTTGTTAATACTATAGTATTATGACTACTATTTTAATATAATTTTTAATACTATATTTTTGCATGCTATTTATTGCATGCTATTTTTTATTAATAAAAAAATTAGAATTAATCTTTTTAATTCTATCCTAACATTAATCATCGGATTTATTGAAAAATTAATTGTATTAAAATAATAATTGAATGATGAATTAATTACATGTACTTCATCATCTCAAAGATGATTATCATCTATCATCTATCATTTATTTATTATCAATTTTCTTTTCTTATCTATATAAGATACAATATATATATTATATATTATATAATATAATATATAATATAATATAAGATTATTAATATTGAATAGACGGTTTTTTTATTTTCTCTTTCTTTCTTTTTTTCTGTTTTTTCTTCGTCTTTGTTGATCTAAATCAAACTTAACATTTTTAATTTATAGATTTGTGACATATATTTTCGATATATAAAAAAAAAAAATGTATAAAATTCCATCATTAATTGAATAATTAATTCCTTATTAGTCCATAATATCGATTCAGATTGATGTACAAATATTTTAGTATTGTATCTAGTATTGTTATAAATGGAATAATAGGTGTTGAAAATTCATTACGTCAATAATGTGGACACAAATGAATGGCGAAAGACGTGATCAATCAAATCTAGTATTTCGTTACGCAATGCCATTGGAATTCATTCTTGACCGTATCATTCGATTCGACCCATCCCTCTTACTAATAATCGCAATCGTGTTAAAAATATCTTATCGGTATCTATGCCATTGATGAAAAATCGCAAATCGATCACGACGAGTATCTTATCGTATCTTGATTGTCAACGCGAACACGCAAATCATCGAGCCGGAAAATTGCTCCAACGCGAAGAATCGTCGAAAAAATAAAAGAGAAACTCACCTGTTACGTGTCGAGAGATCGGACCACGCATTGCCAAAAATTACGTGGCATTCTTTACTTGTTCTATACTTTCATAAAACGTTTTATCGAATGATTCGATAAAACTCTCTTGAAATTCTTTTTCTAGAGAACGTTTCGGATAAATGGCCTCCTTAGATGACCGCTCCACATTCAACTGTGAGATGGTTTTAGAAGAAGATTCCAATTTCGTTCCAATTAGTCTCGACGATGACGGAAGGATGATGGGAGACGAAAAATTCACCAGAAACAGCGGAGATTTCAAAGCAAACACGCGGCATGTAAGACTGCCGAGTCGATGGACAAACGGCTATTGCCTTGACTGAGAAATTCCCTCTGACACAAGGATGGAACATGGTGCCCAGTTTGTTGAAGTGAAAGAAGCTGCGCGCGCGCGCACCTATAATGTTTCATCTTCGTTTCTTTATCGTCGTACACGATGATCTTCCTTCTTTACCTGTTCCCACTTTCCAACCGTTCTTCTCTGCTACAAAATTCAAAGACCGAAATTATATTCAATTTATTTGGCAAGTAAAATTTAAAAAACTTATTTTTCTTATTTAATTTTATAATAAATATTGTAATTTGTTACAGAAGTTATCGTTGAAAAATTCATATTGGAAATGGAGCATAAAACAATATTTATTTAATGATCGAATGCCTTGTGATAATACTATAATATTAATAAAAAAATTTATTTTGATCAATACTTAACTTTAAATGAAAAACACATTATAAACTGATCATATAATGTAAAGCAAATTGTTTTGGATAAGAAAAATCATTAAAAATTATTTTTATATATTTTTATATATTTATATATTTATTTTTATATATTTTTTACTAATGTAAAATATATATATAAGTTAAAATATGAAATGAATTTATTTAACAATAACAATATGAAACTATAAGGTAATATTCTTTTATAGAAAAAATACTACATATCTTGGGATACGAATGAAACAAGAATAACTGTCAGTCGCGTCTGACATTGTTGGTTGTGAAAACATGCGCGGACGCAAAGAAACTAAAATTACGAAATATCGCATTAAATGTTAATTAAATATTAAATATCGTTATTATATACTTATCGAGAAAACGTGTAAAAATTATGAATGATCGATACAATGCAAAATCTATTAATTTAAAAACTTGTATCAAAATTGAAACGATTCTATAAAAATATTAATGTGCTGATCAAACAGATTTCCAACAACGTATTCAGCGGTAAAGGTGTTTCGGATATAAAATGCGAAGAAGAATAATTTTATCGCTTTGCATTCTTTGCATATATGTATAAAAGAATCCTGTATAAAAGAAACGCGGATATTATTTGGTATAGTAGCGGGAGAAAGTATTTTTCGTTCGATCGCCATTTGTATTGTCTACTTGACACTGGTAGCTTTAGTCTCACTTTGGTCTTCGTTGGTTGACCATCGTTTAAATACTTACAACAATCGTAAGAAGTCTAAAAAGTTATCGTGATTACGAAAATTGATTATAAAGTAATCCGGAAAAATCACAAAAAAACAAAGAAAAAAAAAAGAGAATTTTAAAAACTTTGTGAAAAAGATAAAAACGTAAAATATTTATATTTACTGAACGAATGAAAAATAAGAAAAATATTTAATAACTTATGTAACTTTATATTTTCATTTATTCGAATCCTAAATATTAACAAATAAAATAATGCGAATTCACAATACTATATGTGAGAGAAATTGTGCTTATTGTTATTATATTATATGTATTAATTACAAAGCTATCTCAAAACACGTGATTTCTACAATTATTTGTGAAATAACTCGTTATCATGAATTTCTATATCGCGTTTTTTGTACTTTATATTATACTATACATTTAATAAATAGATATATTCAAATAACATAAGATAGATTTTATTAATAATTTTGTCAATTCAATGATCTTTATTTCAAAATATAAACTCGCATATTTTTTATAAAATATTTTGATTATTTATAATGATTAAAACTTTGTGTCAAATTTGTGTTAAAGGAAAATGATATTGGAAATTGTATTCTGGCTGTTTATTACTTTGCTGCTAATCTCGCTGCTTTTGACTTATATTTTTAATATGGGGACCACGTTATGGGAGATTTTTGTATCATTAATCAATACGAAAACAGTCGATTTACGAACAAAATTCGGCGAATGGGCAGGTAAAAAAAAAATTCATAAAAATATATTATATATTCTCTTCTTCGAAAAAGAAAAAATAATATTTAAAAATATTTAATTCAAGTGGTGACTGGATCCACTGATGGAATCGGCAAAGCATATGCAAAAGAATTAGCTACAAGGAAAATAAATTTGGTGTTAATCAGTCGATCCTTGGAAAAATTAGAAAAAACTAGAAACGAAATTATGCAAGAGAATCCAACTGTTGAAATAAAGATTATCGTAGCAGATTTCAGCAAAGGAAAAGAAATCTTTGAGAAACTAGCAGAACAACTAAAAGATATTCCAATTGGTATTTTAGGTATGTGATAATTGAATCATAATTATCTTTTTTGCTTTTTTTTTGTTTTTTTATAAAAGATGATATTTATATAATCATTAGCATAATAGGAAGGAAATCATTAGTATAATACAGGTATTATATTATATATATATTATATATATATAATATATTCATATATTATTCATATACTTATCATTTATCACTATATATATACATATACATTATCACTATTTATTCATTTATTGATATATTGTTAATAGCATAATTGAAAAATAAGCCAAATCTATTCCAGTCAATAATGTAGGCGTGCAGTATAGTCATCCTATGTATCTCGGAGAAGTTCCAGAAGATGATTTGTGGGATATCATCAATATTAACATTGGAGCCACTACATTAATGACACGTATAGTCATCGGACAAATGCAAAAGCGAGGTAAAGGCGCAATCGTTAATGTATCATCCGCTTCGGGATTTATACCTTTGCCATTAATGACTGTGTATTCTGCGACGAAAGTTTACATCATAAGTTTTACCGAGGCCCTCAGAGCTGAATATTCTAAATTTGGATTAACTATACAACATTTATCTCCATTTTTCGTCAATACAAAAATGAATGCGTTCAGCAATTGGTTACAGGTAAGCAAAAAATAGAAATGAATAGCATAAAAATTGTATATATAATAATTGAAGCTTACTATTAAGAAATTTATAATTAATTAATTGATGACAAAGGTATCCAATATATTAGTACCTAGTGCAACAACTTACGCCAAAAATGCAGTCAACACTCTAGGAAAAATTGATTCAAGTACAGGTTATTGGAGTCATGGAATTCAAAAGATCATCGTACTTCTTGTACCAATAGAAATAAGAACAAAATTGGCAATGATTTTAAATATGATTTTCAGAAAAGAATATTTTAAACAAAAAAGAAATATCTAAACATAACATGCTTAAAATTCATATGTTCATCGCCATTGCTTTAAACTAAAATTGTTATAATAATATATATATATATATATATATATAAGT